ACAATCAATAGTAATTTTTATAATATTTAAATAAGGACAAAAATCAATATATGGTCGAAATATATTCAAGCTCCCCTGTAGCTAAAAGAATGGGAATGACAAAACTGATAAGAGTTAAGTCCAAACTGTCAGATTTAAAAAATGAAGATAAAAGAGTAAAGGTTTTGCCAACAAAAGAAAAGAGATAAATTCAAGTAATATATTGTCTTCCTTTAATGTAAGTCCTTCTCAAATAAGAAAAGAGGACAACATATGCTTACCAAACAAAACAAAACTAGTAAAAAATTATTGGGTGAAGTAAAATAAATTTCACGTTTTTATTATAAAACTTGATATGTAGTAGAACAATTTTGAAATGTGAAACATTACAACTGTTTCGAGTTTTCTGAATAATTTTTAAAAATGACTGAAATGTCATATAAAAAGGTAAAATTAAATTAAAATACTGAAATGAAAACTACTTTAATGGAAGTTGCATATTATTTGCATTCTGTTAGTTCATTTATTAAAGGAGCTATTGCATGCATTTGGTGTGCACATTATGAGATCAACATTTATAACATCTGGAATGTCATGGACATATATTCCCTAAAAACACCAATTAATCAAGAAAATCTGGTTGAGAGAACTTTAGGAAACTACAGAATGGAAATAAGAAAAGACTATAAGGTGGGTGATTATAATGGAATATATTGCTTTAAGCCACAGGGCTGCAGGAAATTTTAGAATCTCATATATTTTATATAATATTTCAGGTGTTTCTGGGAAATCTGTATTTAAAAAGTGACAATTTAGCTGTGTTTTGATACATAAATATGCATTTACCAGGCATCCAAGGATGGAATGGCATTCCAGAGGGTATGTGTTAGCACAGTCTTTGAAGTATGAACAGCATAGTGAATTCAATAAACTACAAGCAGCATTTTACATCTGGAATATAAATTGGGGCAGCTTTAATATAAACATGAAGTAGGATTTTAATTCATCTATAATTGTAATCATCTCCACCTTCTGAACCATACTAAAGAAATATAAAAAATCTTTAAAAATGTGCTTATTAAGCAAGAACATTAATCTTTTAATCCTATCTGTCCAACCCATTTGCAATTCTTAACAGTCCAACTAAATAAAAGTTCTAGATCTTGGCTGTTGAAGATGACAGCTACTGCTCCAGCTAGTGTGGCTCAGTGGTTGAGTATCAACCTATGAGACAGGAGATCACAGTTCCATTCCAGGATAGGGCACAAGCCAGGGTTTGGGGCTCCATCCCCGGTAGGGGGTATGCAGCCAATCAATGTTTGGGGAAATGCCTTTAGCCATTTCCAACAGGTGACTACATGTGTGATTGGGAGGCAGCCAATCAATGTTTCTCTATCACCATTGATGATTCTATCTATCTCTCCCACTCACTTCCTCTCTGAAATCAATAAAATATATTTTTAAAAAGATAGCAGCTACTAACACATGAAGTTATTTTAATTTAGATAAAATTAAAGGTTCAGTTGCACTAGCCACAGTTGCTCAGTAGATCAATAGCTGCAGATATAGGTGGCTACCGCATATGATAGTTCAGATATGGAGCATCTCAGAACTTCCTATTGGAGAGAACAGAGAGGTAGAGTGAAAAGGAAAGGCTAGAAATCTACTGATAAGTGAGATAAGGGATGACCTCTTACAACATACTCTGGCCTTGAAACATTGTCTTCTAGAGCACAAGACACTAAAAAAATTAAGCTAAGGAAGTGTAACAAATATTTGTGTATGAGAAAACCAAAAATGAGGCAGTAATTTATTGAACTTCTATTTATGTTAGCCATTGTGCAAGCATTAGGTCCTAGTTTATGGCCACTTCCCAACCTTACTTTTTGTGACACAGGCATTTAAGACTACTTTCCTTCCCAGGATAGTGGCACACTCTTACACTTCTGACATAAAATCTCCCCATTTCTTTTCAACTATTAGTGGCCAATTTATTCTTGTCATCAGAAAAAGACTGTTTCTGTTGGAAAGCTTATCTAACCTGCCGGAGACCAATTCTAGCATGTCATAATTTCAAGAGTTTCATCAAAAGGTTGATGAAACTTTGGGACTCAACAGGGTTGAGTCACACATGTAGTCACCTGTTGGAAATGGCTAAAGGCATTTCCCCAAACCTGAATAGGAAACTGATTGTGGCTGCCAGACAGTTAAAGGGCATCTTAATCTACATGTTATTGCCTCCTACTGGTTAAACACCTGGACAGCTGTAGGCTATTCCCCAAACTGACTGCTTTTGTACCCTTTGAAACCTTACCCTTTGAAGTGTATTATCTCCACCTTGCCTTAGGACAAATTGTGTTAATAAAAGCAAGGGTCCTAGACAAGGAGGTGGTCTTCAGTTCCTTTAGCTGAAGCTCCTTTGACCCCCAATGCCTTTCAAAATTATATCTCGTCTCCGGACTCTTTAATAGTCTCTGGATTCCTATGTCATCTATGCACAGACTTTTCCAGATTCCTGAACCCTTCTTGATGCTGGGACAAGAACCCCGGCATAACCTGCCATGGAAGTTGCCTTAAGTGTATTCCTTTCCCTTTTATGGGTAAATAGGGGCCCAGTGCATGAATTCATGCACCTTGAAAGGAAATGTGGACTGCAAGGCTGCGGTGGGCACAGGGGAAGGTCTCGGCCCATCCTCAATGCCCCCACCTGGCTCCTTCCACCGTGGCTCCAGGTGCCCCATCTGCTGGCAGCCCCGCTCCCACCACCACCGCTCCCACACACTGACGGTGCAGAGCGACTAGATCCAGCACCAGCAGCGGGTGCAAGCAGGGGCATTGTCGTCAGTGGGTGTGAGCAGTGGCTGCTGCCCCCAATCACCCCTCAGGAGGAGGTGGAGGTGGAGAAGCACTCAGGGGCTCTTGGGGCCAACAACCACCACTCTCACCCGCTGATGGCGCCGAGTGATTGGGGCTGGTGCCGAGCGATTGGGGCTGGTGCCGGTTGCCTGCAGCAGGATAGTGGCGCGTGGGAGCAAAGAATTTTCAGTAACCACCAGAGGCTCGCCCCGATGACAGCAACCGGTGCCCTGACTTGGTCGGTGCCCCCTGCTCACCTGCTCCACTATCCTGCTGCATCCATTGCCCGCCATGTTTCATGCTCTGTCGCCTGCTGCCAATGCTCACCATGTTCCGCGTGCACCCCCTGGTGGTCAGCGCATGTCATAGCGACCCGGTGTTCAGTTGTTAAGCCGTTTGGTCTATTTGCATATTAGCCTTTTATTATATAAGATTCTCCTTCTAGAACAGCGGTTCTCAACCTGTTTGGGGGTAGAACGACCCTTTCACAGGGGTCGCCTAAGACCATTGGAAAACACATATATAATTACATATTGTTTTTGTGATTAATCACTATGCTTTAATTATGTTCAATTTGTAACAATGAAAATACATCCTGCATATCAGATATTTACATTACGATTCATAACAGTAGCAAAATTACAGTTATGAAGTAGCAATGAAAATAATTTTATAGTTGGGGGTCACCACAACATGAGGAACTGTATTAAAGGGTCGTGGCATTAGGAAGGTTGAGAACCACTGTTCTAGAACATTCTTCCCAATTCATTGTATTTATTAATCTGTTGCTTTTATTCTGTTAGAATGTTTTACACACGACAGTATGAACCATATTTGGACTATTTACCATTTTATTTGTAACATATTCTATAATGGCTGATACAAAATAGAATATATGTTTTTAAACATGAATTACCTTTACTGCTAATAAATAGTCACAAGGTAGCTATTACTTTCATGCCTTTTGCGTATTAGGATTCTAACTCTTAATTAGGCTAAGTTATTTATTCAGGTCCATTTAGCTCACAGGTTGAACACTGAAATTCAAAACTATATAGATTATATTTAACTCCTATTACATTGTGAAGACTGGATGAGACTGTGGGTAAAAATAGACTTTGGGAAACTAATTAGATACTATTGCAATAGTCAGAATGCATAATAATAAGAAATAGAGAAGATAGAAGGATCATAGGAGTATTTAAAAGATTGTTTCAACAGAACTTGTTTCATTAGGAAAAGGAGATAATAGAAAGATAGAAATCAACTAGATCAGAATTAACTAGATCAGAATTCTAGACCAGGATATAGAGCTATATTTTATAAACACAGTGATTATAAGATAATTGATGTGTTTGGAGAAAGGTATTGGTATTTTGTGTTTGATCAGTCTAATACATTCATATGGAAAAAAACTTAGTGACAAGAGAAAGATGAGAGGGAATGAAAGAGAGAGAGGGAGGAGCATTCAGCATATTTTTTATTGAGAGAAATAATTAGAAAGCTTTGGGTTATAAGTGCATGTTTGGCCAAAAGAAGGTAGTAATATCTCCAGAGTAAACTTTTTAAATACAAAGAATAAGTAACTAATAACTGAGAAGATCAAATTGAATATTGGACAACAGCAACATTTCAGTGTAAGGGAAAACAAAATGAGCTGATAATGAATTAGAGAATCAGCTACCATAAATGCAGAAGAGGAAAGAGACAGAGAATTTCAAGGAAGAGAGACAGTCTCAAATGACAGAAATGGTTTAAGTATAATAATGCTTAAAAATCAGTTGAATTTAGCTAACAAATGTTTATCAATAACATTTCCAGAACACTTTCCCTTTTTTATATTAATTTTTATTTATTTTTTTTGCTAAAAGTATTACAAAGGGTATTACATATGTGTCCTTTTTTTTCCCCCCGCCCTTGACAATCCCCTGCCCTCCCTTACCCCCCAGTGTCTTATGTCCATTAGTTATGCTTATATGCATGCATACAAGTCCTTCGGTTGATCTCTTACCCCCCTCCCTCCTGCCCCCCAACCCTCCCTGGCCTTCCCACTGCAGTTTGACAATCAGTTTGAGGCAGCTCTGCCTCTGTATCTATTATTGTTCAAAAGTTTGTAATGGTCTTTATTATCCATGAATGAGTGAGATCATGTGGTATTTTTCCTTCATTGACTGGCTTGTTTCACTTAGCATAATGCTCTCCAGTTCCATCCATGCTGTTGCAAATGGTAAGAGTTCCTTCTTTTTTACAGCAGCATAGTATTCCATCGTGTAGATGTACCACAGTTTTCTAATCCATTCATCTAC